GAAGTCCGCCTCCGGGTGGGGGATTTTTTTCGCTGTGTTGAAGACCCAATGGTGGCCTTTGGCTGTGTTTTTACTCTCTGGTTGGGTTGTTGTCTTTTAGACACATTCCTCATTTCCATTCTCTATTTTACATTCGTAACATTACATATTATGTTGATCGTTTACTATAGCAGGAGGAAAGTGACAAAAAATCTTACAATTATAATATCAACCACCTAGCCATTGCAGCATATTTGAGTAATAATGTACGACTAATTATCTGATATAATCAAGTTATCCAAAATTTGACAATAAATATACGATGAACAAGTTTATGATATGGCGTTGTATCAAAATCATTAAGACATTATTAGAGCTAAAATAATGTATTCCTTATATGATTTGTTTAAATATTTTGTTTGCAAATTCGTTTTTGATTTGGCCTTCAAATTGTCTTGATCTGAACGCCAATTATGAGACGTACTTAGAAGAAATTCGCATTAGTAGTAACAATACACATATGTAGGACTCACATCCATAGTGGGTTCCAGAATAATTGCAGATTACAAAATGTGTGCACATAGAGAACCATCTGACGAATGACTTGCCTTCAACAAGTGGCTTTTCAAGAAATTGTTTTTCTCCAACAGTACAGGTATTCGATATAAAAAACTGAAAATGATGTAGATAGTCATTAGACATCTTTGTTTTTAAGATTACCATAGGGCTGAAAAGATAACAAGAAAACAGCATAGTATAATCAAACCTTATAAAAGAAAAGCAAAAAGCAAACCAATGTCACAGAAAAAAAACATGTACAATCAAGGGACAAGGCAACACCAGTAATTAATTTCACAAAACAACTAATAACTAAAGTTGATCGTAGGTATACTGAATTGTTTATGACTTACAATAAGCTTTAGTCGTAAGATTGTTTGTGAAACTGATCTCAGGAACAAAGACGGGAACGAGAAAAACAAGGAAAAAAAAAAAAGAAAAAAAAAACCAAAGCATGACAATGTAAACTATCATGAAAACCGAAAGTGGAGTCAAGTGCTTTGGAAGAGTAAGCATTTCCTTCACTTCATGTGGCACCCCTTGTAATTTCCAAAAGTAACGAAAAATCCATTAGAAGGTAAAATTCAGTATAATAAAAACAGATTAGGAGTGCGACAACGAGAGCGTAACCATAAAAATTTTTGCACATTACATAAATTGTGATGGCGACCGTAAATATATTGATACAGTCTTTAGGAGTAAAATTATGTGCTCAGGGAAAATAACCATTCCCTACTCTGTGGTATCTGTTTTACTCAGTCATTTAACCAACTAGAGATAAAATGAAATTCCCTTAACAAACCAAAATGCAGCTTGTTTTAAAAGAATTCAACAGTTTGCCCTTAAGCAAATATTTATTTGAGTTTTAATGAATCTTTTTTTAACAGTCGAAGTCAAAGTGATACTCAGTGATTTTATCCATCATTTTATATACTTTGCCAGCTGTAGACGCCAGAATAATAACTACAGTTCCTTTCCTGAAATTACAGTTACTTAAAACAGCGGCGCCTTTATTCATTGCAGAATTAGGATGGTACATCACATACTGTCCCTCCTCTGGATAAAAGGTCATATCGGCCTGTAAACCCTCAGCAAATTGTTAAAGAGGGAAAGCGGAGAGTGTTCCCCTGTGTCTTTGTTTGTAAAACCCTGTCAGTCAAAACGCTTCTGGACTAAGGTCCTTGCAAACTGGACATTTCTCTTCTTTTGATATAACAAAACCGTCATCTGGAATGGTATTTCAATACATGTGCTCTCCCGTCGTTAGTGGCGGCGCTGAAATAATATGACGTTACAAGTTACTCTTTTTCGCGGAAAATTACGCATTTTTAAAATATGCCATAGATTAGGAAAAATCAGAAAACAAAACTGCCATAGATTTTCATTTGTATGGCATTTGTCATATTTGTTATAGATTTGAAATATGCCATAGTTCTGAGGCCTCCACATATAGAGATATCATCTAATTGAAACACTTGATTTATATTCCATATTTCATATGGTGATATTATAACTTTTCCATTGAAAAATGTCGTGTACTGAAAACAAGGTTTATGATGATCGTTTTGATTTGCAAATGATTAAACATTTATGGTAGAACATAAATCATTTATCTTCAGAATACAAATACACTGAAATATTAAAATGGTCATCAAAAGAAACAGTACAATGTTTGAAAACTCTTCACCTTTGTTGTGTCTTTGTTTGTAATATGATGTATTTATGCCATACTGCTTTTTGGCATAGTTCCAGTAAATACAGTAAAATAGTTCCTTGAAAATTGAAATATAAACGTGCCAATCAATGCGTTTAGCGTTGAAAAACGTAAAAAGTACGATTCAGAATCGAGACTACGTTTTGACAATACTAATTTAAAGAATACAATGGCCCGTCAAAATCTGATATCAATAAAATTAAAATGCTTAAAGCTTTAATAGAATGAGGGCGGATTTTAGGGAATCAATTTAATGTGAAAATATGCTTATCTAACTGCTGCTTTTTTTTACATTCATTCTTTACATATCGTGCGATGTTGATCTCTTTGGCTAACTCGGCTGTGAATTTTTATGTGCTGGTTTATGTTGTTTTATGTATCCGTTTTTATTCTGTAGTTAGTCACAACTTCGGTGTTATCATGTATATCTATCATATAGTCATATTTTATAGATTTACTGTTTGCAAAAGTATGAATTATTCTAAATACTAAGGATTTTCTTGTCCCAGACATATAACCTTAGGCGTGTTTGGCACAACTTTTTTGAGCTTTTTGTCCTCAGTGCTCTTCGGCTTTGTACTTGTTTTGGCTTTCGAACTTTTTTGGTCTGGGCGTCGCTGGTTGGTCTTGTGTGGACGAGGCGCGCGTTTTGCGTGTTATATTTTAAGCCTGGTACCTTTTGTTAGCTTTTATTCGTATGTTTCTCTGTCCTATATGTTCTCCCATTTATTTGTATTGTAGGCCTGTCATGTAATGTTGTCATTTTAATGTTATATTTAACATTGCCATTAAAGCGAGAGGTTTGACTAGCCACAAAACCAGGTTCAGCCCACCATTTTTTCTTAAAATGTCCTGTACCAATTCAGAAAAATGGCCATTGTTATATTATAGTTCGTTTCTGTGTGTGTTACATTTTAATGTTGTGTTTCTGTTGTGTCGTAGTTCTCCTCTTATATTTGATGTGTTTCCCTCAGTTTTAGTTTGTAACCTGGATTTGTTTTTTTCTCAATCGATTTATGAATTTCGAGCAGCGGTATACTACTGTTGCCTTTATTTACATATTTGTAATAAACTGTTCTCTGAAAGTATTATTTCGATAAAGGTGAGTTTCTAATTTCTATTTTATGAATACACTGCCTTAACTAAAATGAAATTATTCGAGAGAAAAGCGTCATTGGACACTGTGACCTGAAGATATTTGATTTGTAAAATATATAAAGATTAACGTATGCAATCAACGGATTTATTTATAATTGATAATAGAATATATTATAATCATTTTAATTGGTCAACAGTAACAATAATTTCTGGCTCTTGTAACAGAACTGTGAATTCTCTGCAGGAAATTTGATTTATTAACTATGAAACCAATTGCAAAAAAAACCAATTTCTACCAAGCAAATGGAGATGTCCTCATTCTGTTTCCGAAGACGATGCAGCTGCTACTTCAAAACATTATCACCCCTAGAGGCTAACTTAATAAATACAATAACAGGGACTTGAAAGTAAATCTAACGGAAAAAGAAAAATCAGACATGGAAAAATTATCTAAAATGACACAATTTACAATCGAACTTTGTTATGAAATTATAAGATTTGAAAATTTAGTTCCTGAAACCATCCAGTAAATGGGAGATTCTTCCAAGTGAGGATCACAAAGAAATAACAGATGATTTTAAAAGAATTGTATTCACTACAAATGATGTAATCAACAAAAAGGGAAATGATATTTCGAACACATCCTATGAGGCGTTTAAAGGCAACGTTAAAAGGATTGTTACCCGAATTGATTTGTACATAGGCATAGAATCCTGCCAACAATGCTATATGGAAGTTATTTTACTTGACGCGCAGTTAGATATTTGCCTGAGGGAGCTACGAAAACTGCGGGAAATAGATTGTAAGTGATTTAAACCTTTGTCGAGTACGTGTAAATATATATAAACAAAATAGTATAGAAACTGTTAACAAAACTTTGATTTTTTTTTCGAAATACTACGGATTAACTATTCCATTATACATTGTAGGAGTTAATGTCCTTGATTGGTAATTTGCATCTATAGTTTGCGATTATTTGTAGGCGATTATAGACAATATTTACTACAACAAACGCAAATATTTCATTTAGACTGCCTTAATTGAATACTAGATGCACACTAACTATTATCACAAGTGTGATTACACAAGAGAGGCGGAAGATACCACTGGATATTCACACTCATAAGTCGATGACAAACTGCCAATGACATGTCAAAAAACAAAAACGACTAAAAGTTAGACAAACAATAAAGAAAAATAAGACTGCGCAACACGAGCCAACCACACATCACGGGTGATCTGAGTTGCCCCAAAAGGGTCAGCAGTTCTTGGCAACCGTCAAGTATCAAATGACTAGCATTACTAGTGGAGTCGGAATTTATTATCAAATATTAGCACAATATCAGCTTTGTTTTCTGTCATTATGAACCAATTGCGTAGTTTTTTTTACTTCTACCCCAAAACACATATTTGTTTTTGCGGAGGGTATAATAAAAAACAAAAACGAAAAATTCTTAATATGTAAAAATAAATATTTAGGGTTTCGTATGCACGCCAATGGCAATATGAACAAATAATCGTGTCTATTCCCGGAATTAAGATCAAATGCCATTTACTTAACTTTTAGAAAGTTAAATGACAAAAATGCCATCATAGATATATCAAATTTTGTCATTAAAATAAGCTTCGAGCAACAACATTAACTAAGAGACTTGTCATGTTTTTTTTTTATTTTACTAATATGTTTATGACAATAGTCATAGTCATAAACAGTAAAGGCTGCAAAGTTATCATCAGCTATATAGATTGATTACAAAAAGCTCTCTGTGTTGTACTTTCTTTCACTTCAATTTCTTCGTTCAGGGTAAAGAAGTAATCACTCGTCTGTTTTTGCCTATATTGAAACAAAAATATTGTTAAAAAAACAATACACTTATGATTTCATAACATTGTAGATTATTGTTTTTTTTTGAAGGGGGAAACATTGATGAACATGAAGAATGTTGACAACAACGAAACAAAAAAAGTACTTAAATCCACGTCATTTGAATTCTGTTGGATAAGTGTCTCATTGGCAACCATACCACATTTTCTTCTTTTACATTAAACTGAACTGCCAAACTGTTCAAAAATACACTTCGCAGTCTAAATATTAGAGGCCATCGATTTGATCTTCCTATTTTGTACTTGTCTTAATAAACGCTAGCCTACAAATGACTACTGAAGCAACATATGAAAAATCATATCTATTTTATGCCAACTTCTTTCCAATTAAGAGGAAAACACTCAACTGACAAATGTTTGAACAAAAATATAATGACGGACACATTTCGTGCTGAAAGTTTACCAAGACGAAGGTGTGTTATATCAAGTAATAACCACCAAAGTGTCTGCCAGGTTTTTCGAGTATTAATATACTTTTGAAATATGTAATATCATATACATGAGATATATAGATATAAGAAGATTTGGTAGAGTGCCAATGAGACAACTCTCAATCCAAGTCAAAATTTAAAGCAGTAAAAGAAATCTTACAAAAACTGTTATAAAAGGCCCGACGTAAAGACTTAAGTATTACAATACTGACATATAACAAAAACAGGGCAAAAACAGAGATTGTAAGAAATCTTAGTAAAACCATAGCAGGGGGCAATAATAAATAAAAGTAAACCATTATAGGTCACAGTACAACTGTTTAACTTTTTATTGTAATATATGTGAAAAGATAAGATTTTAGCTCCACTAAGTCTCTAAACAAAGTTACTTATTATTTGTAAGACTAGTAGAAAAATCAGTTTACGTCTATAAATTAGTGACGGATGTTATTTAATGATAAGAAACGGTTGATCGTTCTGTTCAGTTTCGTCAACCTCTGGTATTAAAGATTTGTTCGTTTTATTTAAACTTATGATTTTTGTTTAATGATTTGGACTTGCTGTTCGTTTTTGTTTTGTTTGTGACTACTGTGCAGTCTGTACTTCTTCTTTTTATCTTTTTAGTTGTAACCTTCATATACCTTTCTACAGGTTAATTTGAATTTCATATTCACCTTTTTCACCGCAAACTTCATTTGACTCATCAGATTTGTCATTGCATGCTGACCAGCCATCACATAAACTTCTTTCACGAATGCATTGCAATCCGTCTTGACATTTGACATATCCTTCAGGACATTGGTAATCTTAAATATAAAAATTATTTGTTGTTTGTCTGACTTTCATTGGTAAATACTTCATAAATTATTCAGGGCGAGATAAAAAAAATAACAATTCCACGGGTATGTCGACTGGGATGCAGGGCAAATAAATTGACCTGATACTGGGAAATGATAGTATGTTGCATGGACATATTGCCTTCTAACAGAACTGCCAAGTTAAGCACTCCTCAGACAGTTGTTGAATGCGTTCTTTTACGTTGTAGGTAGCGTAACATCTACCCTTCGAAAGGTTTCAGATTCAAAATCTTCTTTTCTACCTGGACTTTACAACTGAACGAGAGAAGTCAAGGAAGGACAGCATTAATAAACTCCAGTCAACCCTTGGGATTTATCTAAAAAACCAAAAATGAAGTTCCAAATAAATCCATGGAATCATTATGGTACCAGAAGGGTAATACGCAAACCCATCTAGAATATAGATTTTATGAAGGAAATGTATTGTTCTTGTTAGTAAAATAGATAAAATGTATGCACAACAAGATGAGTGTTTGACATTGATCGCAGATATTAAATAAGATTTATTTCACTCACATTCACTTGACAAAATGGAAAAACTCACATGTTTGACAACATATGTAAAAATGGGACAAACATGATGTTCATGACAATTTTGTTTGGAAATATTTGACTTCTTATTGCATATATGTACTCTGTATATTAAATAAAATGGAAGATCTGAGAGAGTAGATAATCTAGCCTGTAGTTGCTATACAATTACACAATAACACTTCTGGCTCTAGTTATGAAATCATGAATGACATAACATTTCAATGTATAAGAATTCTATAAATTATACCATTACTGTACTATGTATAAATTAAAAATAGTTTTTAGTAAACCAAAAAGTTTTTGCGGAAAATATCTCAACATGTTTTACAAAGATATATATAACACGTATGTCGATGCTCATGTATGATTATATTTATTTACACTACAATATAGTTTAATGGATTCCTATAACAATTTTGTTATGTAAAGCAATAGTGAGTGAGGATCTCTCGCAATGACTGGCAGGATTGAAACATTTCAATTATCTTCGTAGACTTCTATTGAGAATATGAATTTTTTATTAATCAGTAATATCGGAGAGTATGATTTATTATTGAGTTGTATTGCAATTGGGTTCCGTCGATTTTCTTGACAGTAAGTAACAATCCAATTTCAATGATTGTATCAAAATAAGAACCGAGACGATTTTGATTTAAGACACGAAAACTTTCATTTTATTCTTATTTATCTGATTAACATAATTTATGAATTATATATATGCAATCTATCTTTGTATTTAATGTGTAGCTGTGCACATATCTTTTGCACGTCATGATTTTTATTCAAATTAATTCAAGGCAATTGGTGTATGCATTTGAGGAATTATGTAAGCACATAATTATTTGGCGGTCGATGCTCTAGAATAATATAGAATCTGACGTCATAGTATAATCACGTGACATAATTATTTGTGACAAACAGGCATCAAACAGAACACGTGTCAGAACTTTCCAAACTAATTACCATGTGCAAACCGTCTTATCATATGCACATGAATGTTATGTTTTCGGCTCTTAGTAGGTGTTACAGTAGTGTTGAATACATTATGTAGCATACAGGAAATAAATAGAAACAATTCTAGAAGGTTAAAGTATAAAAGTTAAACAGTACAATGTGTTTGTGAAAAAAAGGGTCAACTTTCCCTCTATTTTTTCAACATACTCATGTCATAAAGAGTGACTGATGTAGAGTGTGTTCCCCATTTGACTAATTGAAAGCAATAAAAAATAATTTATGTACTGCATGAACATGTACATTAACCCTCTTGCTGCAGCAACTTCAAACAATTGTATTTTGTGTGCCAGAAAATTCAGCAGCTAGACGTATGTGAAGTCACATGTACAATTGCGACATAATTCGATATATGATGTCATGCCCTAATGACATTAAATTAGAGACCCATTCAAGAAATACTCTCTTGCTACCGCTCATTCTACATGGTTGGATTTCGTGTTCTAGAAAAAACGACAGTCTGAGGTCTGTGACGTCACATGCCTAGCATCCTAATGACGTTATATTGAGGACCTACAGAAGACAATTATTACACTGTTTAATCTTCCGTAATTTATTTGAAAGAGATACATCAATGATACGAAGCTTGCATAATTGAATATATGGACATATGTGTTCCTCTTGCAACAAGAGGATTAATCTTCAATGTGTATTAAAAGATATACAGTAATGAACAGGTGTTTACATGAATTAAACATATGGACATTCGTGTCCCTTCTTCAGCAAGTGGGTTAAAGAGTTTAAGACCAGTCTTTTCATCAGAAGATATTGTGTATGGAAATATGTTGGTGAGTTGTAGAGTGCCTGCATGAATTCATGCCTACATATTGATTATCGATTGGCTTTACTATTGGAATTATTAAGTATTAAGTTTCTTATTTTCTATATGATTAAACGAATAACGTGATAACAAAGTTTTGCAAATACTTACTATAAAAATAAGGAAATGTGGTATGATTGCCAATGAGACAACTATCCACCAAAGTGGATGTAAGCAATTATAGGCAACCGTACGGCCTTCAACAACGAGAAAAAAACCATACCCTTATGGTCGGCTATAAAAGGCCCCGACATGATAAATATGAAACAATTCAATTGAGAAAACTAACGGCCTAATTTATAACAAAACAGTTTACGAAAAACAAATATGACAGACATGAACCAACGACAACCACTGAACTATATGCTCCTGACTTGGGACAGGCACATAAAGAATGTGGCGGTGTTAAACATATTTGTGAACGCTCAACCCTTCCCTTAACCTAGGACAGTGGTATAACAGTACAACATAAGAACAAACTATACAAATCAGGTGAAAAAGGCTGAACTCATCAGATGGATACAAATAGAAATACGTCTAACAGAAACACAAAATGGACGTGGATGGGTACTTATACCTCCCAAAAACATTATTTGATGGGTGGCTAATGAAATAAATCGATCTAAGTCAGCATTTTTTTTTAAATTTTTTTTTCCCGCTAAAATGTAACTGCACATAATTATATAAAAGAATCAATGATTAAACAAAAATAGAATTTGTAAACAAAAATTCCCGCTTTTTACCGATAATTCGACTTATTTTCTGGCAGTCACCATTACACATCTAACACTGCCAGCTGTAATTGCAGTTGAAAAAAGTCTTAGTTATAATTAGAGTTAAGGGCAAAATTTGGCTGCTATTCTCCAGTGATTTATAATGGGTTTTTTTCATATAGTACTATGAAACCCAAATACATGTATATAAATAGATCAACTATGTCCCCGGAGTTTATAGAATAGAAGGACTTGATCATTTTTTATAACACTTGGCACGACTTCAGCTTACCCGTTACCGTTAACCCGGTTTCATGGCAATATGATTTATAGGATAGACAATAGCAAACGATAAAGGCCATTTAAGGTGTTTTACTTTTTTAAATTTAAATTGAACAGTGTAAGTTATCAAAATTTGAGCCTAAAAATCATTTGTTTTTTAAATGCTGTAATATATTATATATCAGAGCAGGACTAACGCTAGCAGGCGAAAGGGGCAAAGAAGTAGCTTTCCCGTCTGTCTCTTTGTCTTGCCCGACCGTCAAAAGCGATATATAGCCACCCTGTTATAAACAATAGTCGCTTGTAGTGGCATTTGTCAATGGCATTTTCCATGTTTACAAAGTCGATGAAACAGCAATTTTTTAATTTGTAAATAAAAATATTCAAAATCATAAATGATTTATTTCCTTTGAAAGTATTTACTTGACAGATTGGTGATATACTATTTCAAAGAAACAACTTGTGTGAAGTGGATATATTTTTTTTCACTTCCACTATATGTTACTCGAGAGCATATTCCATGTAAATGCATTGCATTTATGGATTAAAGTTGTTTAACTTTGTGAAGTTTATATATATTTTTAATGATAAACAATGAATTTCACAAACTTGATAAACAGAATAGTTTTTTGATTGAATTTTGGTTGATATATGATACTTTCTTTACCTTTTTGCTATTAAAAAAATCTTTTTTAATTATAGCCATTTTCTGACAGAAGAAAAACATATAATTATGTAACTATGCATGATTATTTGAGGTTTAGCTAGCTATAAAATTAGGTTTAATCTAGCAGTTAGGAATATGACAGTTGTTATCCATTCGTTTGATGTGTTTGAGCTTTTGATTTTGCCATTTGATTAGGGACTTTCCGTTTTGAATTTTCCTCGGAGTTCGGTATTTTTGTTATTTACTTTTGAGGACATCAACTGAAACAACTGTTTCTTCAACTGTATTCTCAGGTATGAATTGAACAATATAAAAAAAATAAATAGGATACATCTGGCTCATTATATTATGGCAAAAACCAAACTTCAAAAAATAAGAATTCAAACACTTTTAGTCTTTGCCTCAGCTGAAGATTTTTTTCTTCAAAAGACCATATTGTCTTAATATCTACAGTAATTTCAATATGTTTTAGTTTCAACTAGTCATACTATTTGCCTTATGCAGATGCATCTTATTTTACATCAGATAATACTCCAAATATACCTTTACACATATCTTCCTTCTCATCTGATCCGTCAACACAATCACCTTTCCTCCCATTACACAATGCATAATCACCGATACACTGTAGTCCGTCATCACATTTTCTTTGGTGTTTATTACAACGTATATCTATCAAAGAATAAAAATCAATTCAACAGAAAAGCATACTCTGATTTGTAATTTGTCGTTATCAAAAACAATATTCGGGTAACAAGTGACTCATGACATTAATAACTCTCGTTTACCAAAAGCTTGTTTGTTTTTGCACGTTATTATGAAAACCATTATTTAACAGGGTTATCAAACACTATTTCGTTGAAATTTGTAGGTGGAAATGACAGGCGGCCGGGGGGGGGGGGGGGGGGGGGGGGGGTCGAGGGGGTGTGTGTAGTATATGTGAAAGATATTTTACTTGCACATCGAGGCAATAATGATAAACATGTGAAGTTGTGGTGGATGCCAATAATACTGTTGTCAACGAATGAAGAAGACTTAAAGAGGCAATGCCAGGGAAAACCAGACAGAACTTGGAAATTTTGTTCAACAAGATTTTTTTGAAAAATGTCTTTTTGCATTGTTTGCACTCTGTTTTGAAGGGAAATGTCATTTGTAACAGTTATATAGGGTTATTTTGATTAGAAAATTGATTTTGATTTTACAGTGAATTTGACTGCTTATATAATGAAATACGGGTATTCATTTCTCATCAAAAACAGCGTACAATAGAACAATTAATACATATTCTAAAAGATGATCACGAACAAATCAAGAAATGATAATAACATCTCTAGTATTTATTGATATGTAAATATTTTAATGCAGTAAACTGCCTGGATACAGTACTCTGTTTCATTTTTTTTTTTGGTATTTAGACAAACCAAAAGTAATGCTCTTCAATTTGAAGACTGATAAAGATTGTGATGTTTTGATGTAAAAATGAACTTCTTTTGTATATTTTTATACATATTTTAACATTTTTTATCAATTTAACTAAAGTATTTACTTTTGTGATTTTTGGAAACTTATTTTCTTCACTAGGAGATTATAGCATGTTTACAGGTGATAATAAATTCCTAGAAACTTTTTTGACAAATTCTGTACAGGATTATTTACAAAAGATTATTTAGCATTTATTACCGGTATTATGGACTATGAGGGATTAAAAGCCATACTCAAGGTGTTTTTGATGATTAAATTGGAAATCTTAGTCTACACTCATCTTAAAATAGTACTTTGTATATCATGGTCATAAAAAAGGGCTAATTCACAAATTCTGTGCATCTGAAAAACTTGAAAGGCAAATCTCCTTGAAGCAGTCGATAGATATAAGAGAATTCTTTGCAACAGTTATACCAGTTGGAACAGATAATAGTTCTAACTCATAATGAGATGTAGAGGGGTTTCTGCGAATGGGAAATTCTGAATTTTGAAATTAGTTCTGGGATAAATTGATACAAATAGGCATCAAACAAAGCATTTACATATATTATCAGATGTAATGAAATTTACTTAACATACTTTATAGATGTCTTTAAGATGGAATCAAAATCAATTCCTGTTGATGTTTCCAAGTATATTGATGTTTGATGCACTGTTTATTTCGAAAAAAAAAAAATACATGTACAAAAAAATCATTGTAATCAAATGTAGATTTTTACGTATGTCAATGTTTTTCTTACTGACAATCATGACGTCATTCTGGAGTCTTAAGCCCCCCCCCCCCCCCCCCAATATTTGAGTTACGATGGGAAAATGTCTGTACCTAATAGTAGTAGAGTAGGATTGACCAGATGTCCAATTTAATTATTTGTTTCCTGAAAAAGCTTCATTATTGGAGCAATATGAATGCCAAATTTTATTCAGGGTTTTTAATTTATAAATCATACAAAGATGTATATTTCGTGTTAAAAATAAAAAAAATGTTACAGGGAAAATGATAATCTTTATTAAAAATATGTTTAAAAAAAAACAAAAAATGTCAAAAAGTGTTTTTTTTTCACAATTATGCTGTAAATATTTCTGTTTTCTTCAAAAATATCTGCAGTAAAAAAAATCAAACTAATTAATTTAGTTTGTCTTTGGTAACTTTATTGAAGTACATGCTTTTGTTTGTTTTAAATCCATTGGTTTAATAAACTAATTGTTATGTTATTCACACTGAAACCAAGTATTTGTCACATTTTGTGTTTTATGTTGCCCAGTTATCCATCTTATAAAATAAGAAGATATGATATGGTATGATTGTCAAATTAGACAGCTATTTACCCCAGTTCTCTTAATCCCATATATAAATCTGCCAAATGTGACACAATAATTATGCATTATACATATATTATGCCAAAAGGTAAACAGGTCGTGCTCCGGACACAAAAGTTTGAAGTAATTTTACCTTGAGGTCAAAAGTCAAAGGGCAGCATGGACTCTACTGATCCATTATATGAGAATCTTTTTTACAATTTTTAATTACCTACTATCATGGTGAAGATATGTACAAAATAAACTGTTAATGAAGAAAATACATAGTAATGGTTGCTATGGTAAAATAATGAAAAAGAGAGGAAAGGGACTACTTTTTTTTTTATTAAAACTTACCACTTGATTACAATAAAATAAATTGTATTCTGCCACTTAATTCATTTGATACCATCTATGTTTGCCAAATCAAAGATTTTCACTTTTTTTTTTAATTTTCTCTGTTTTTGCAATTTTCTAACTTATTTTATGGAAAAATCTAAAGAGATACCAAAAATTTTATTTTAATTTTTTTTAACACCAACATAGTGCTAGACTTCCATATAGATAGTTCAGCCATACGTGCTGTTTTCTTCCGGTGATTGATAATTTAAAACCGATATAAACTGGCTTTTCCCCCAAACATTTCATTGAATATTCGCTGCTTTATCTCTTATATTGATTTCATAAAAAAAAAGTCAAATACACCAAAAATTGTAAAAAAAATATATATATTCCTAGTCAGTATGTTATACTGATTTGGTAAAATATATTTTTTACCAAATAAATTTTTCGCGTTGAACACTCCTGTCTGGTGCTCTCTGGAATTGCCTCTTAACAGCTATAGGTCGTCCTTCAGCCTTCAACAAAAAACAAAACCCATAACGCATAGCAAGCTATTAAAAGCTAAATGAGAAAACCAGCTTACCGATTTATGAAAATAACTTAAACAAATATGATCTATAGTAGTAAGCAACAAACATTGAATTTCAGACTCCTGACTTGGGACAGACACATACACACACAATGTGTTGTGTGGTTAAACATGTTTCCATGTGCCTTACTGTCCCACAATCAAATAGAGTGGTGGAACATAAGAACAAACTATAAAAATCAGTTGAAAAACAAACAAATAACAAAAGCATAAAAGATACAAAGTACTCGCAGCTACTAAAAACTAGTTTGAAGTCAATAAGAACCAATGAATAAAGCATGTATCCAAATAGTTGGTAATATTGAGTGCAAACGGCTCGAAGTTGGATTCAAAACGAGAAAATATCTTTAAGGGGTCTTAAATGTCCCACCAAATAGTAGTCCCCAGGAATGAGATTAGATGGAACAGTCTATCGACATTGATTTATCTTGTAATTTAGATATAATCGTGACAGGTGCCTTTTCCATGAAGAAATTAAAGAAAAACAGATAATGATAATATTTTTTACCAGTTATAGGTATCCTCACTCAAGCCTGCAAATTGTAACAAGTGTGTATGCGTTAAGTATGATAGAGGTGAATGTGACTTATATTTACACCAGCTATTACTTGTTGACCGGCACCATTTATTTCAGACGACTTCATGCTATAGGAAGTGATAGAACTTGTTAACTAGTCAAAGAAAAACATTCCTAACCGTATCATGGAATTATTTAATGGAATTAACAATTCGGAAACATAAACCATTAAGACCTACCGTTGATATAAAAAGGCTCATTTGTTAATAATCATATCCATAAAAAAAAATATGGTACAATCCTGATTGGAATAACACTTATTCCAATCAGGATTGTACCAAATTTCAATAATTTAGGAATACATGTAATAAACTCAACCATAATTTTCAGAAACATATATCTAACTTCTTTCCAGAATCTCACTGTACTATATACATGATACATAATCATAATACGAAAAATTCGTTCTTAAAAAATCATAACAAAAACTTCCGAACTCCAATGCAAATCCAAGGATTTTGTACAGGCATTTTCAGAAGAAAACCGTGGTTTAAACCTGGTTTTGTAGCTAATTAAACATCCTACTTGTATAACAGTAGTTTATAGTTCTGTTATATTGAAAAAATTAGATAAGCAACCCAAACAGACATAATAGGTTAATGTTACAGTAAATGAAATTGTAATAGTGTATATACATTTGGGAAAAAGTATCACACCATCCTGATTTTTCTCACAAACCAACATGTAGTTTACGGCTACAAAGGTTTATAAATTATGCCTTTTTTGAAAATGATAAGACCACAGGCATTATAAATTAAAAGGTTGAAGACAAATAACGAATTCAATTTTCAACAAACTAGAGGATATCTTTGGTACTTGAAATGCAAATGTTTAACTTTGGGAGCTAACAATTATAAAAGTTTAATAAGGCAATGCTCTTTAATGGAAATCGAGAATTTGTGTCAACATTGAAAGTGAGTTTTTAATTCATGAAGGCTTTCAAATGTCTTATATAAGATATTATAAAAAAGGGTATTAGGCTAGAAAAAACACATTTTTGAACAAAGCCTATCTCAACACACTTAAATTCGAAATTTACTATAGATAATGTTGATTCCACTTCAATAGTCGAAATCAATTCATTTCCATTTTCCATACATTTAAGTGCTTACCTCGGCAAATGTCTGGTATTTTCCCATCCTTACATGCACTACCTCCCCTTGAACTACAAACTCTGTATTTATGAACACACTGTAAGTTGTCGTTACATTTAACGTACATATCAGGACAGGTATAGTCTAAACACAAAAAAATACATAACATCAAAAACACATTTATAGTTATTCATAGATAAAATATGAGTTTAATAAAAATTCTTCGCAAAAATTTCCATAATTACTAAAAGTGATTACAATACACAACGGAAGGACCATACCTTTTTAATTTTGGTGCTGTGGGGAAAAGCAGACATCAATTAATAAGAAGACACATTGAAGACTTTAATTTGTCAAATTTTGATTCATAACAAGGAATAGCATATGCTTATATATGACTTCATGAGTTGATGAAGATTTAATTGACAACATATTTGTTAGTTGGGAGAATGTATGTAATTTTCAACATACAACTAGCGTTACTGACGAAACAATCATGCGACTTGTCCATCCATTCTAAAGAAACATAGTAAATGCAGAAATTTAATAATAAAAAAAAAAAATTTTTAACATGAATTAACAGATAGTAAAAGTAAATTTGACCTACATCTAGAAATATGTAGTAATGGTCGGTTTTGAACTAAAAATAAACACAAAAGAGATCATTTCAATATTTCAAGTGTGAGCTTTCCATATCCTTGTAGTATCATTCAAGCAGCCACTGTACATGTTTTATATACCTCTTAGTTGACCCCTATGATATATCTGTGTCACAGATGACAATGAATTGGTTCTACTTGTTGAAATAGGCAGTAAGATCAAAGAGAGATTGTATAAATTCCCGACAATATATGATGCATAGTTATCACTTTCTAAATGCTGAATACGTGTCAGCCTTGTTAAATGAAAACTGGTGATTTCTAATCAGTTAGATAAAACACAAAAGGCGTCCATTTAAGTTGCAGTTAAAGTATTTATAGTTTAAAATGTGGTTATCAAGATATCGGAAGTAACGTTACCGCAAGTCGTACAGAAATCATGAAAAATAAGAAAAAGTAATTACATGGTTCCCATGAGTAAATGTACAGTTTTAATTCTGACTAAATACCCATAATAAGAATCTAAAGCATTCTATGACATCAATTGACAAACATTATGATTGAGAATCAATGGCGTATTTGTATATAACTGGGAGTAGTTTGTATGTACATCTCAAAGCATAAGGATGTTCACTGATCTTGTTTTAGACTTTTTGTCAGGTATTCGGAATCCTCCGGTTAAATCCATTCAAAACTTTGCCTGCTAGCCCCTACTTTTCTTAAGGTAACTTATTGATATTTGACAAAATTACTCCTTAATAATCAGACGTCATAATGGCAATTATCTAAAAAGTAAGATGATACAAATGATATTTGATTGGTTATTTGAGGTAACCATAAACTGATCAAGAAAGAACTATTAGCATTCATTTAACACATCAAAATACCATTTTCATGATTCTTTTAAAGTTACCTCTACAAAAATCTTCTGCTTCATCAGATTTATCTTTACACCGTGGCACACCATCACAGAGATCTCTTTTACGTATACATTGTAAACCATCCTGGCATTTTGTAGACCCTTCTGGACATTGAAAATCTACAAACAACAACAGTTGTAGGAACTCTTTCGATACCATATTGTGCAATAAAAAGAGTATAATGTACGATACATTTTGAAAACATGATCTTCCAATTCGTGGTTTTCCCGGAAAAATTTGACGTCACAAAGCAAATAACTTTACGTCACAATATTCTTTGACGCGTTTTCCCCTGAATGACCCCAGGTCAACCTGAGCACTTCCGGACGAGAATATAAATGTTTAATTACAAACCATTTACCCCAAGTTTGCGTGTGTTCCTAATTGTACTAAAACTACCTCGAACAATCTTAAAAAAGTATTATTTTATATCTCATCGGTACTGAACAGAAATAAATAATTGAAGCAGTCACGACTTAATCCTTTCTTCTTTTGTTACTATGTTTTTTTTTGTTACGAAACTTTTTTCATCTGAGATAGTGATTTATTGATTGATTTATTGGTTTTTAACGCCACTTTCAGTACTATTGGCTATTTCGTGGCTGTCAGTTTTTATTGTTGAAGGAAGCAGGAGTGCCCGGAGAGAACCACTGACCATCGGCTGGGAAACTGACAATACTTGTCACTTCAGATTGTCTGCTATGTGCGGGGTTCAACCTCACAATCTCAGTATTGACAGGCTAGTGATACAGTAGTTGTACAACTTAGAACACTCGGTCACCGAGGCCCACTAAGATTTTTAAACAGATACACATAGTAATTTTTTTTCAAAGAAAGATACAAAAGTGCAGCTCAAGTAACTTTTACGATATTATTTTTTTTTTAAATCATTTCATCGTTTCCTTGAAGTTCATTTATTCAAATTATATATGTAAATTACTACCTCAAAGTGTCGGACCATTGTTTAAATCAATGTGCTTATGTCTTTACCTCTACAAACTTCCGCTGATTCGTCCGATTTATCAGGACAATGTTCATAGCCATCACACACACTTTCTTTTCTCGTGCAAGTTTCATCTTTACATTTAACAAACCCTTCTCGACACTCTATTTCTGGAACAGAAATTGGGCGTGCCATTATAAATAAAAGAAATATTGGGTATACCACCATGAAAAAGTAAAGCAAGAAAGTTGTGCGTGTAGACGTGAACAAATTGAGATGAGGGTATACATCAATAGGGACAGTAACAACAAAACTGATCAAAATACATGTGGATAGCAACATACAGTCTTCAGCAATGGATAAGTCTCTATCAGCATGGGATAGTAACAACACAACTGATCAATATACATGTGGATAGCAACATACAGTCTTCAGCAATAGATAAGTCTCTATCAATATGGGACAGTAACAACAAAACTGATCAAAATACATGTGGATAGCAACATACAGTCTTCATCAATAGATAAGTCTCTATCAGTATGGGACAGTAACAACAAAACTGATCAAAATAAATGTGGATAGCAACATACAGTCTTCAGCAATATATAAGTCTCTATCAGTATGGGACAGTAACAACAAAACTGATCAAAATACATGTGGATAGCAACATACAGTCTTCAGCAATAGATAAGTCTCTATCAGTATGGAACAGTAACAACAAAACTGATCAAAATACATGTGGATAGCAAAATTCAGTCTTCGGCAATAGATAAGTCTATATCAGTATGGGACAGCAACAACAAAACTGATCAAAATACATGTGGAAAGCAACATACAGTCTTCAGCAATATATAAGTCTCTATCAGTATAGGACAGTAACAACAAAACTGATCAAAATACATGTGGATAGCAACATACAGTCTTCAGCAATAGATAAGTCTCTATCAGTATGGAACAGCAACAACAAAACTGATCAAATACATGTGGATAGCAACATACAGTTTTCATCAATAGATAAATCTCTATCAGTTTGGGACAGTAACAACAAAACTGATCAAAATACATGTGGATAGCAACATACAGTCTTCAGCAATGGATAAGGCTCTATCAGTATGGGACAGTTACAACAAAACTGTTAAAAATACATGTGGATAGCAACATACAGTCTTCAGCAATAGATAAGTCTCTATCATTATAGGACAGTAACAACAAAACTGATCAAAATACATGTGGATAGCAAAATTCAGTCTTCAGCAATAGATAAGTCTATATCAGTATGGGACATCAACAACAAAACTGATCAAAATACATGTGGATAGCAACATACAGTCTTCAGCAATAGATAAGTCTTTATCAGTATGGGACAGTAACAACAAAACTGATTAAAACATGTGGATAGCAACATACAGTCTGCAGCAATAGATAAGTCTCTATCAGTATGGGACAGTAACAAAAAAACTGATCAAAATACATGTAGATAGCAACATACAGTCTTCAGCAATGGATAAGTCTCTATCAGTATGGGACAGTAACAACAAAACTGATCAAAATACTTGTGGATAGCAAAATTCAGTCTTCAGCAATAGATAAGTCTCTATCAGTATGGAACAGCAACAACAAAACTGATCAAAATACATGAGGATAGCAACATACAGTCTTCAGCAATAGATAAGTCTCTATCAGTATGGGACAGTAACAACAAAACTGATCAAAATACATGTGGATAGCAACATACAGTCTTCAGCAATAGATAAGTCTCTATCAGTATGGGACAGTAACAACAAAACTGATCAAAATACATGTGGATAGCAACACACAGTCGTTAGCAATAGATAAGTCTCTATCAGTATGGGACAGTAACAACAAAGCAGATCAAAATACATGTGGATAGCAACATACAGTCTTCAGCAATAGATAAGTCTCTATCAGTATGGGACAGTAACAACAAAACTGATCAAAATACATGTGGATAGCAACACACAGTCGTTAGCAATAGATAAGTCTCTATCAGTATGGGACAGTAACAACAAAACTGATCAAAATACATGTGGATAGCAACATACAGTCTTCATCAGTAATAAGTCTCTATCAGTATGGGACAGTAACAACAAAACAGATCAAAATACATGTGGATAGCAACATACAGTCTTCAGCAATGGATAAGTCTCTATCAGTATGGGACAGTAACAACAAAACTGATCAAAATACATGTGGATAGCAAAATTTAGTCTGCAGCAATTGATAAGTCTCTATCAGTACGTAACAACAAAATTCATCAAAATACATGTGAATAGCAACATAGAGTCTTCAGCAATGGATAAGTCTCTATCAGTTTGGGACAGTAACAACAAAACTGATCAAAATACATGTGGATAGCAACATACAGTCTGCAGCAATAGATAAGTCTCTATCAGTATGTAACAACAAAATTCATCAAAATACATGTGGATAGCAACATACTGTCTGCAGCAATAGATAAGTCTCTATCAGTATGGGACAGTAACAACAAAACTGATCAAAATACATGTGGATAGCAACATACAGTCTGCAGCAATAGATAAGTCTCTATCAGTATGGGACAGTAACAACAAAACTGATCATAATACATGTGGATAGCAACATACAGTCTGCAGCAATAGATAAGTCTCCATCAGTATGGGACAGTAACAACAAAACTGATCAAAATATATGTGGATAGCAACATACAGTCTGCAGAAATAGATAAGTCTCTATCAGTATGGGACAGTAAAAGCACAACTGATCAAAATACATGTGGATAGCAACATACAGTCTTCAGCAATGGATAAGTCTCTATCAGTATGGGACAGTAAAACACAACTGATCAAAATACATGTGGACAGCAACATACAGTCTTCAGCAATGGATAAGTCTCTATCAGTATGGGACAGTAAAACACAACTGATCAAAATACATGTGGACAGCAACATACAGTCTTCAGCAATGGATAAGTCTCTATCAGTAAGGGACAGTAACAACAAAACTGATCAAAATACATGTGGGTAGCAACATACAGTTGGCAGCAATAGATAAGTCTCTATCATTATGGGACAGTAACAACAAAACTGATCAAAATACACGTGGATAGCAACATACAGTCTGCAGCAATAGATAAGTCTCTATCAGTATGGGACGCTTTCAATCGCTTAACAGATTAAGATAAAAACTAGTTTACATAGACATAACATAACCTTCAATTCTTCAAAGATACCTGTATAATAAAATAGCAACAACACAGGGGCTCTTTTCATAAAAAATCATACGACCAAAACATGTGATTAAAAATGTCGGCGAAGTAAAAATCACAGCTACGTACAAAAAATGACACAGAAACAAAAAGTCCAATAAGCAACAACAAAGCAATTAAAACAATACCATGTATTACAAGTTTTACTTTATGAATAAAATTACATCTTAAAACATTATCATGATATATTGAAATATGAGCACATCTCAAGGACTTAATTCCTTCAAATGAAACTGTAATATCGGTTCATGTCATTTGCTGCTATAAAATTGTTATCATCACCAGCTCAGTAAGCAGCACTTCTGTATTGACATGAAATATTATTAATATGGTCATATTTATAAATTTTGTTTTCAATAAAATATTTAATTTTTTGAAAAAGTAAGTACGGTCTATCCCAGAAATAGCTTACCTGAGCTGTATTAGAAAAAAAACTTCTGCACAATTAGATTAACTTGTATAAAAAAGCGCAAGACTTTATGACTGGATCTGTTAAATCGTGAAAGTTCAATTGACAAACAAACTTATTTATTCAAACTCATCTTGGTTTACCTTTGCATATTTCTGGTAAAGAATCATCCTGACAGTTGTTCCATCCTCCACAAACACCTTTTATATCGACGCACTGCTTGTTATCTTTACATTTCACCATGCCCTCAGGACAGGTCATATCTAGAAAACATATTTATAAACTAACAAACACAAACATGAAATGAATGACGTTTAAAAGGACCATATGTTACATATATCTTACATTAAACGAAAATGTGCAGACATTTACTGTTTTATCAGTAACCGACGTTGTCCTTTTCCTTAATCCCGATCATCTAATCTTAAGTGACTGTTGATCATCATGATGGGTAATACATGCAAAGGAGATACTTTTCATGTCACCGAACCTGGTCCCATTGTTTTTATTATTTTTTATTATTGATTTGATTATTCTAAATGAATTAACTACATTTGAACATCAGTTAACTAATTTTTGTTTAAGGATGTTCGTTACTCTGTTTCAAAATAACAAGCTTCTTAAAAGATTAAAATAAATTGAAAGTATATGAATTAAGGAACTAAAAAAGCGGAAAAAAATGAAGGGTCCATGTGCTTGTTTTCAAGATATAAGCCATTGAAAATTTGGCTGGAAATGATTATCTCTAGATTTTTCATTAATTTAACATTAGGACCTTTGTTCTTTCAAAAACTATGAAAAAATAACAAGGATTTGATAAGATTTTCAAATATGGCTTTTAAAACTATATGTTATAAAAATACGTAAAGAAAAGTAGGGGTTTGCGGGCAAAATGTTTTAATGACACTACATGGATAAAACCAGAGGATTCCGAATATCTGTCTAAAATTCAAAAACAAGAGGAGCAAACATCCTTTATGGAAATACCAACAACAAAAAACAAACTGAAAATTGACATATATATCGTGAGTTATGTCAAGGGCTATGGAACAACATTTACTTCTGAGTTATGATCTCATTGATTTTTTTTCTGGTAAATAGGAGGTAATGAAATTTGAACAATGTTTCATCGCCAATAGCAAATGCACTATAGGTCTAAAACTAACAAAGTATTAATTATGTAATTTTTTTCCGAAAGGGAGGAAATATGATCATAGAAATACAATCTTCTGATTTGTTAGCATAATGTATACTAGTAGCTCATTACTTACTTCTGCATATATCAATATTTGGAAGACCACATGGTGGGTATCCAGAACAAAAATAGCTTTCTCTTATACATCGTAATCCATCAGGACATTTAATAAATCCTTCCCCACAATCAGTGACTGAAATATATGTTTATTGTTTGAACACAAATCAATGCACGCCGCAGATAAGGATTTACATTGCATATCCAAACAAAGATATACTATTAGACTTTTTTCATTTCTATTATACCTTCACTTTGAAAGACTACGACTCTCTTTAAGCAACACTTTAAATGTCATGTGGGTTTTGTGTAAAGGGATTTGGAAGTCTAAAACTAATCAATTATTTAATGTTCAAAACTATAAGGTTGATTCTCTACATAAAGTGTGCTAAAAAATTATACCAAAAACTTTAAACAAGAGTATAAAAATGTAGATTTTTTTTAAAAAAACTCGCTTTGGTTGTTTTACTCTTTTGTGTTTTAAAGCATTTTTGAAGCGAATGTGCATTCATGGAGTAATAAGTTTTCACTTAAGTCCACATTGTATTTTCTATTGTTGATGTAGTTTCCAATAACTACTTTGATTCACGGACTCTCCTACACATCCTACAATTGCACCCAGATAATGAAAAATAATGTTCCGATTACAAATGATATAACTGTGACCTTTGCTTTGAGTAGCAGTATGCAGCTTTTTTTGGTTAGCGTTATGTTGGGTCCATCTTTTCTGTCTATACAAAATTTGTATTTTGTATGATTCATGGTCAATTGAAACCTGCGAAATCTACGAAAGTAGTTCCCTTTAGTATAATAATGATGATTTATTTTTTAAATATCATATGATGAAATTCTGGTAACTGATTTATTGGAGTAGACTTGTGCGTAACATAACATAACAGGTTTTTCTTTCTGGCCTTTTGTATGCTAGCCAGAAAAGGACTTCATTACTTTGGAGAAACCTAGTAAGGTTGTTTACTATAAGTCAGCATATAAGTCGTAAGAAAGCTACACTTTGCAATTCAATTAAAGTAATTCGGGCTAAGGGATGCTCAGTAATACCTCTACAAACTTCATCTGATTCGTCAGACCCGTCATTACACTGAGGCCAATCATTACCATTACAAAGTGATGCAGTTGAAATACATTGAAGGCCATCCTTACATTTCCAGAAATCATCCATACATTGATACGCTGACAAAAAAATGAAAATTGAAGCTAAATTTATAAACAGATCAATATATATATTTTATTCTATGATTAGGTAATACCTTTAATAAACCAATTTTAATTTAGATATAAGTATTTACAATCTACTACATTTTACATATATATATATATATATAGGAAAAAAAATTATAAGACTGAAAATGCACCAAATATTTATATTCAATATGAATATTCACATTTTGTCTATTACAGCAACAAATTGTTCAAAAATGTTCTCCATAGTATGCTACCGGTTTCACATATATATACAAGTCTAAATTGAAAACAACGTTCAAACCTATGATTGCGTTGGATAAAAACCGCAATTGTTATACGTGTGCATGCAAAACAAATTTCTTGGTAGAGGGGTCTAAATACAGCACAAACAACATTTTCCAAAAGACCAAAAAAGTGAATAAGTATATTTGAACAAAACGCATTTGACTATCAGGTCGAACAACGGATGTTCTTAAACCCTGCTGACTGCAATTGGCGATTGCCAAATAAACGGATCATAAGATGTAACAAAATGGATCCTAATTATTAATTTAATACCAAACAGAAAACAATATATATATAACCGACTAATAAATATCACTGCACTTCTCTATGTACCATATTAAATGAATCAGTGACTAACGGAATAAACCATCTGATGAGAAAAAAGTAAAACAACAAAAATATCGAACTTCAAGGAAAATTCAAAATGGAAAGTCCCTTTACAATTGGCAAAATCAAAACCTCAAACACATCAAACGAATGGAAAACAACAACAACTGTCATATTCCTGACTTGGTACAGGCATTTCCTTATGTAGAAAATGGTGGATTAAACCTGGTTTTGAAGCTTTATGAGAACGGTGAAGGATACCAAAGAGACATTCAAATTCACAAGTCGAAAATAAACTGACAACGCCGTGGCTAAAAAGAAAAAGACAGTACACAAAACACAACATAGAAAACCAAAGAATGAGGAACACGAACCCCACCTAAAACGTAGCTTCTGAACATTCTTGAGCGTACCGGTTGAAAATTTATCCTATATCAAATTCATATAATACCTTGATCATGTTACTAGAAGTAAGTCGGTAAACTTGATTTGCGACGAACTGCTTAACAAAGTTTGGCAGGCTCCCTGACTTTGTCTCTTAATGCCTTGCCTTCATCACACAGGACATAAATCTCGTTATAATAACAAGATCAAAGATAAAGGAAAATAATGATTAAAAATTTAAACATAGTTAAGCAATATTTCATTCATACCTGAACAAACATCTGCTGATTCATCAGATTTGTCATTACAGTCTATACGACCATTACACATAACATATTTAGATATACACTGCAAACCGTCTTTACACTTAGCAAATCCTTCTAAGCACTCATAACCTTTGAATATATCAATTTATAATATCAGTTGCTGATTCGTTACTGATTTACAATAGGTTAAAGGTACTCAATTGTTTTATTATATATTTTTTATTTGTTTTGAAGTTCATCAAAAGCATGTTTAATACGTTATTTGGGAAGGGAAGGATCGTATACATATTTTTTTCAAAGCTGGAAACTCTAATTATCCGAATATGTGAATAGTATGTTATATTTAGAACAAGTGCGTAGGGTATTAACAAGACGACCAGATGGGCCATAATTGTTAACAAACGGATATTATTCAGACAAATCCTTGTAAACTCGAAGAACCAAGGAGCCTGAATCGTACTCAAGTATAATATGTCTACAAAAAAGCTCTATGCAGTGATATTGGATTTGTTATAATTTTAAAAAATTGACTAAGCATTACCATTTGTGTTGATATGAAGTGCAGAGGACATAGAATGAAAGTGTTAAAACTATGGAGTTATTAAATGCATGCAAGGAAATGAGTTTTCAGAGATATTTTTGTGTGATAAGGGGACGTTTGACTTCGATAAGCCGCACCAACAAAGGGCTTTTCAGGATATGACAAATTACAAAAATAAATGAATCCAACTTCGAACCACTCCATCATTCATGTCCAAGTTTACGACATGAGCAAAGGAATGGAAGAAAAAGGTTACCGTTAGAAAGTACCTGAAATGAATTGCGCATATCTATTAGAAATTTTAAGACACCTCCTATTAGGAGTCTTTTAATGAATTTGGTTATGTTTGACCTTAGTAGACCAAGTCTTAATAGTCGGTTCTACAGTTTGCATTCCTTTTCGTCTGCTATACTTTTTAAGATGATCGGTATAATTTAGATATGGCAATTTCTTCTAGTATCAATACTCGAGAACTAGGTTCAAATTTCGCGAGTACTTGAGAACTCGAATAATATCTGTAATAAAAGTACTAAGGGAGCATTTTTTGGTTATGTGTTTATAACCCCCCAATCATCTAATTAATTAACTGTAAGCAATACAAAATTGCATGCAGTTAACCACAATTGGATTTATTTCTGTTTTTATTTGAGAATTTAATTTCATACTATACTACATCAGATGAGAGCCGATACAGATAATAAGGATTGTATCAAGATACTAATGTGTGACAGACGACCGTTTTTTAGATGATTCCGACGGGCACTGAGCAGGATGTTTCATATTAACATATGCTTAAGAATGTTTGTTGTACTATGACCGTTTACGGGTAGACTTTTTGTATTACAATAAAGTGGAAATTTCAAATGTTGCTCAGAAGGATACGTCAGAAACAATTTATTCGGGTATCCTGGTACGAAATTTGCACTCGAGTACCTGATCTTCCAAGCGAACTCAAGTTCAAGTTGCTATCCCTTCTAAAATATTCTACTCATTGTCATTGGAAACATGGAATAAATAATTAAAAATACATCATAGATAAAAGCATAACATCATGTTACTAAGTAAGCTACATCAATTTTGACAAATTAAGTGTATTCAAGTAGTAAGAATCTTATTTTTCGTGTCTTATGGAATTTTTGTCCAGTGTTTCTTCTCAGTGTTATTAAAAAACATTGAATTTTATGACATTCTCTTATTTTAGGCGAAATTACATGTATGACATACTTAAAATTGAGTCAATATAAATTGTTTGTTGGCTAATTATACTGTTGCATGACTGTCTGATTTTGCTATATAATTGAGATATTTTACTTTTGCAAAAATCTTCAGACTGGTCAGATCCATCTTTACAGCTCCCATATCGCCCTGAGTATCCGTTACATAGGGTATGTTTAGAAACACATTGTAACCCATCTTGACATTTGACATAGCCTTCAGGACACTTATGATCTACGAAAAGTAAAAATCTTTGTATTACATTAGTATACTTTGGTAACAGATAATTTACTGATAATATCGTTTCAAGTGCGAAAATCAAATACGTCATTTTTTTTTTTTATTAAAAACCATTTTTTATTAAAATGTTCCATAATTGTTGAAATGACAAACAACAAATAAAAACAACAGAGGAATTATGGGGTATTTACATTTGTCAGTATGCTGACATAGTAAAATGACATATAGATCGAGATATACATAAAGTCTTCACAAACAGCTAAATGTAAAACAATATGTTAACACATGTTGAACAGGAACTGATTACCCTTCCGGAGGAATTTAGTTTTTGGTTGAAATCTTAAGTTTTGTATTGTGTATTTGTTCGTTTTTCGTTAAGTAACGGACTAGCTTGGAAATTTGAAAACATCAAATATTACTTTATTTAGATAGTAAAAAAACTAGGTAAACTTTAGTATTCCGCTTAGGCATTATACTTTAATCAGTTTAATCGTGTATACATACAATGGAATAGACCTAAACGTAAGTCGTTTGTAGTTGATACATATTTTACTGTGCATGATGTTTTACACTTTGGTACATAATACGTACAGAATGATGTTATTTTGCCATGAAGTTGTCACTTTTTTCATTGATTTCTTGGTGGATATTTGTTTTTCTTTTCGTTGTCTTTTTTCATTATTTGACCAATTACTTTTTATAGATCATTGTTCCCCTTGGTATTGTTCCTCGTTTTTTGAAAGGTTATGTATCGTTGTAGATTAATCTAAGAATGACTACAAGGAATCCGCTATCAACATAATTGTTTAAAAAAACACCACATGAACAAAGATAATAACAGACTAATTAACTTTAAATGGGTAATTCAATAAATAGCAGACACCAAAAATAATTATGGGAAAAGTAGCAAAAACTAATGTAAAGTCTTCATAGTATAAGTAATCAAAAAATTTAAATTTTGAAAACAATTATCCACGAAAGCGCACATAAAGATTAACTATTACAGGAGCTCGGGCACGAGAAACATACTTATCGTTTTTCATATTCTGTAATTGGTGTTTTTTTTTTAATTTGTTAGTAGACTTCTAATTTAAAGTAAATAAAGTAGAGAATATAAGAAACTTCATGTCTTTCTACACATGCACGTTATTACTACGTTTTGATGCAACGCCACTGACAACATTGTGGGAACACGCGTTATTGTATGACATCAGAGAAGTCCAATAACTCTTCATTGTTTACTTTATTTCACATGTGATTTAATCGGTGTTCAATTAACAGGGAGATCAAAGTATCTCAAAGTTAACTAATGTTATAATGATAATAGACTGTCATTGGTTTTTTCAACCATTCAATGAAAAGTACCTTTACAGAATTCTGTATCTTCATCCGTACCGTCATCACATGCTTGATGACCGTTACAGAGGCCAGTGCTAGGGTAACAGTGTATTCCATCGTTGCATTTAATGTTTTCATAGTGACTGAACATCGGGTCAAATGGTTGAGGACATGGTTGTGCTTTAAAGAGATATATTATATATCAACATAGTTTACATTAGGAACATCATTTTATATGTTAATACATCAACGATCTAACAACTGAAATATTTATTTAATGCAATGTTTTATAAAATTGAATGTAATAAACAAGCGTGTCTGATAATCACAGAAGCCTCTGATTTCAAGGTATAAAAATTTGGGCATTTTTTGGACTTTTCCAATTTAATAAAAACATAAAACTGAACTAATATGATTTGTACATGTATGAAGGAGAGGAGAGAATTCTGAAAATACGAACAAATGAAAGCCCATTGATTATATTATCATAAGGATAGTGACTTTTATTTATTAGTGTTTTCTGTTTTTAATAGTTTGTAATACATTTGTTTTTTGTTTACTTTTAAGTATTTTTTTTTTGTATATTCTTGGGTTGTTTCGATTTTTTTTTTCTTTGCTTGCATTATAGTTTTTTTCAAAGCAAGTGCTTTATTCAAACAACCGTTTTTGGTGTAGATGTAGTTGTAGATAGTTGTCTCTATGGCAATCTAATCACTTCTTATTTTCGTAATTAATACTTAGTGATAGAGAAACTAAAGCAAATGATGTTCTATGTATTTATAATACCACCTTTACAGATATCTATATTTTCATCTTCTCCATTTTCACAATTATTATAGCCATCACAGTAGCTCGCTAGAATAAGACAATTAGTCCCATCGCTACAGGGTACACATTCAGCTGAAATAAAAGAATAGAAATCAGTGAGGAGCATTATTTTCATTAAATGAACAAATTTTAAAAAGCAATAATACTGGAGCAAGAAGGAGAATCGTCTTTTTTCATACTTTGCTTATTACAACTTACCAAATAGATCGATAAAAAGACGAGTGTTTATGAGCACATTTAGCATGTGATATCGTTAAGTAACGGACTAGCTTGGAAATTCGAAAACATCAAATATTACTTTATTTAGACAGTTAAAAAAACTAGGTAAATTTTAGTAACCCGCTTTAGCATTATACTTTAATCAGACTAATGAAATATACCTAAACGTAATTCAGTGGTAGTTGATACATATCTTACCTTATATGATGTTATACATTTTGGTACATAACGCGTACAGCACCGGTTCGATATTCAAAATTTCGCTGTTCAATATTGAAATAACATGAATAAGAAGTTGTGGCATGATTGCCAATATCCAACACGTGTCGTAGATGTTAGCAACTACAGTTCACCGTACAGTCTTTAAAAATGAGCAAAAGCCACACTGATTGATTAGCAAGTCATAAAAGGTCCCGACATGACAAAATTTAAGCAATTCATAGTATACAAAATCTGCCCTATCCAGAAAACTGGCATTCTAAATATTTCTCCCGTCATTCCTGTCGTCTTACTCTGCAGAATCGTCCTGTTGTACTAAAGGTAATAAATTCTGGTCTTGAAAAAAACATGAAATAATTGTTTCTGGGCGTTAGGAAATAACAACCAATCAATCATATTGGAATGAACAAGAACGTAATTGAAAAAAAGCATAACTTATAAAGACACTGTAATATGAACAAAATAAAAAGGGAATACAGGACTGGTGTTAACCGACTGTATGAAAATACGTAGACGTGGTATGATTGCCAATGAAACAAATTTCCAATTGACGTGGAAGTTAGCAATTATAGGTCACTGTATGGCCTCAAACAATAGGGAAAACTTATGACGCAGTTAAATAGTAAAACAATTTAAATGAGAAAACTAACGGTCTGATTTATGTTTATTTAAAGAATTGTTAATTATTTAAAAAATAACATTATTCTCAGTTCTCTAAAATCAGTTTTTAAAACGAAAATGTAATGCAATCTTTTTTTAAACTACTTCTTAAAAAGATGAAAATTTATAAGATTCCATTAGACTAACATACAACGTCTCATCATCGGGGGAAATGCAAATACTCCACTATTTCCATATAACAGCAATACACTGATCAGTATATCTTTTAAATACATATTGACCTGAAATAACAGTACGTGAATATTACACAAATGTAATTAGTTTCATTAATTGAACATGCATTAAAAAAAAATCAAATGGTTTACTGATGAAGAACAACAGCTATCGAATACACTTTTCTTATTAAGTTAAATAAGATACGTGTACATATTTGATGTTTGGTCTTAATAACGAATAGTCGTCTCATTGGAAAGCATACCATATCTCCTTATTTGGTTAAGTAATCGAGACGAGGTCATAGCGGTATAAACAATATTCTTAATTGCAGCAATGTCGTGTTATAATTATAATAATAATTATTATTATTATTATTATTGGTTCAACTCGAACGACGCTCGTAGCAATAGAAACAAAACAAATGTCAAATACTAAAATCTTTTTTCAAATTGAAAATAACACTTTATTAATTATATAAATGGCCGAATCACTTTTCTGTATTTACCTTTAACAGGAATGCTCAAAGTCAAATATGTGAAAGCCAAGAATGTATAAATACCGAAACACATGAAGAGCTATATGACCAAAAAGAACTTAAAATAATACATAAACTCATATAAGGTCAACTTTGCCTAAGAGAGTTGTAACTTTTGTCAATGAAGTTTTACATAAATGTGACCTGTCACGCTTATATGTACAGTACTAACAGTAATTTCCCCAACTTTACTGCTCCAAATCCACATTTCGTCAATAAATTTCTCTTCAGCGATGCTTGAGGTCAACGTATTTGAAAATCAAAAACTTATTCAAAAGAGTTTGAAAATAGAAGAGGACAAAAAGCATAGCCAAATCCGGTCAAGAGATCAGAGCTATATATTTCTTAATTAAAAAATGAATTCAAAAATTTTGTAATACCAGATTTTAATAACACAATATCCGTATTTTCGTACCAGTACCGAAGTATTTTCTACTGTGTTCGTGATAACCTAGGGAACTAATAGTCCATCAGCAGAGGCATCGACACAGTGTTAGTAAGAATATCAAACGGCGAAAAAGTGACTGCAACAGATGCGCTTTCCGACAATGAATGTCTCTTCAGTGATGCTCGAGGCCAAACATTTCTAGATTTTACCCGCATTAAAAAAAGGAAGAGAAGATAATCCAAAAAGAACAAAAATAATAGACAAACCGGGCAAGGAATCAAAATTTTCCTTGAGGGAGATGCATCCCTGTATTTAAAAAGCTTAAAGACTTTGAAATATTAAATCTTAATAACAAAATAAACGTATTTTCATAATAGTTCCAAAGAACTTGCTACTGGGCTGGTGATACTCTCGGGGACTAACAGTCCACCAGTAGAGGTATTGGTCCAGGGTAGTTACAGCATTAACGATACCAGTTTTACTGCACTAGATGAGTATTTCGACAAGAAAGTTCTCTTCAGTGATTGATGCTCGTGGTCAAAATGTTTGAAAATCTAAATCATTTTTTTCAAAAAGGAAGAGCTGATTAACTAAAAAAAGGACAAACAATATAATCAAAACTGGGCAAAGATTCAGAGTTTCTATGTGTGAGATATTTTCATTAATTTAAGATAATTTTAAACAGCAATTCTTTATTACAGAATATTCGTAGTTTCATGCCAGTACCAAAGTAATGGCTATTGTATAGCAAAGGCCGGACATAGAATCAGTGCTTTGCATGAGTAAGATATATATTACATAACTGGTAAACAATAATAAATATATATTTAAATAACTATATATAACGTCCGTCGTAAATTGTCTCAAATTAGTTCTCTTAGTGCTATTATGTGTCTTTTGGTCCTATGACTTTTGACGTGCCTCGGTCTTTACAAATCCCGCTATAGCTATCGGATTTTTGACTTTGGGCGATCCTAGTTCAGGTTGGTCCTGAAGTGCGATTCGGACGTAAGAGGTTTTTACAGTGTTGTTTCGAGTTTGTTTACCCTTGAACTTGTATTTATATTTTACTTAATTTGTACATTATCGAGAAAGTGTCAACTACAAAAACTTTTATCGGCGTCTTTGTCAATATCAATCAACTACACAAACCTTTTTTTGTTTGATTTATTTGTATGTTTGTTTGAATTTTGTAGTCAATTGTGTTGTATGTCTATGATGTAAGTCTAGACAGTTTTGGCTTCTGGATCCCAATTTTTGTCACATTAATCGATTATGTCTGTTTAGGTTGTTCACCCAATTTTGTCAATATAATTGGTCTTTAAGCAACTGTCATACAAGTGGGAGGTTTAACTAACTATAATATCAGGTTTAACTCACCATGTTTTTCTGAAAACACCTATACAAGTCGGGAATATGTTTTTACCCGTTTCATTGGTTGATAACGGTTGATTTTGTCGATTTTTATGAACTTTCCCCTTTTTGAATTTACCTTGGAGTTCGATATTTTTGTTAAACATGTTAAACTTTCTTAGACGTATGATATACAAAAACATTGGATGTGACTGTATTGTAAGTACAATTATCATCGTTTACGAAAGACAATTGCAGCTGATCTGCACACCATTCATCTTCTTGCAGCAATACACCAAGTTTTGTGTTAAACTCGTGATGAATTCAAGCGATAGCAGTTAACCGATGTTCAAACCTTGTAAATCGATCGGGAAGTGATAAATCAAAGCAACAAACAAAACCGGACAGAATTGCATGAACTAAGACAGACGAGGAAATGTATTGCTTGTCTAAAGAACGCTATAATTTTATAGAGCCTAGTTAGCCGTGTAGTCTAGGGAGCCGAACAAAGTGCAGGATTACTGTAGCAGATGTTCGAATCCCTGTAAGGGTAAACAAACATTTGTTACTTACTGCAAATTTGCAGATCTCATATTGCTGTTCTAAATTTCAGACGATGTATATATATATATATTGAACAGGATTGTACATGGCAAAATAGGCAAAGGGAGAATCGGGAGAAGTTTTGGATAAAAACACTGGGTGTCCTCCATCCAGATGGAATCAATAGAAAGAAATAATTAAATTTACAGTCTAATGTTTATATTATGATATTAAGGATTTTGGATTAAAATCAATCGACCAAAACTTACCTGTATTAATATTGTTCTATGTTTACACCTTATACATTATATATCAGTATTGTTAAAACTTTTAACAATGAGGAAGGCCATTTTGTGAGCCGAAATATTTGCAATTATTGTATAATTTATATCATCTGTTCAGTTTTTCCATCTTTGTGCGATGATATTCAACACTTTTTAGTGTTTTGTTTTCCATCTATTTATCGGTATTGTTACACAATCTTTTAGACTCATATATATATATATATATATATATATATTCTGGTGTCAGTCCTGTCCAACGCAAAGTTTACCTGAAGGAGAACGACTGCCGTAAAGTCATCATATTTTTAGACGTAATGAATAAAATAATGTTGATGTGACTGTACGGTTTAATAGTGTTATTCAATGGCTGTTTCTGTATTAGCCCTGTTATAGATTCGAGGTTAGCTGTATTGGCCCCAAAACTTGAAGAGTCGAGGGCCAATGAAGCTGATCGAGAATTTATAAAAGGACAACACAGAAACAGCCAGTTCATAACACTTTTATTAAATGATACTAATTCTTCGATTAAAGTAAGAAACTTACCGATAAATATATTGTAGCTACATTTGAACGTGCCTTTTCCCATTCACGAAAAATTTGTGTGTCAATATTGATGACATTTCTGATTTCCAGTCGAAGTACTTAATCTATGCTGATGCATTTTTTAAACACAAAGTACCTGGGAATAGTCTAGTTTTTGTGTTTTTTGATCGACGGAAATGAAACGATGACGATCAATTGGAAATTCTACTCAGAAAGAATGTTGAATGTTACCGCTTCAAATCGTATGAAAAAACGGATTATAATTAAATTTTTCTTGTCATTTGAAATTGAATTGAAAAAATGTTTCTTTTAAATACAGTAGAAGATGCCCGCGAAATCGCGGTACAATTGGGCAAGTGTTGAAACAGAGTGGGACACAGTGATAAGGTTGACACTGTAAGGATTTGGACACGGTTAATTCATTTAATTCTATTTCTTTAAAGAGATGAAAATGAGGAACATAAGGCAAAAGATCCCATTCATCTCGGTTGGAAAATAAAAATATTAAATACCCTAAGAAAAGTGTGACAAAGTGTGATTTTCCGTAGTTTTTTACCCTTTTAACTCAATAACCTATGAGCTACATAAAATTCGTTGGCATTACCGAAAGGGATCAAAATGAGTAACACAATTGAAAAAAATCGACTGAGCATGCCCGAAAGCGTATAAGACACGGATCGATAACGCTCTTCGAATTCGGATATTTTATCAAAAATTGGCGTTTTCTGTGGAATAATTGTTGTTTCAAAGACAAATTTAGGAAGTATAAAACATTACATTTATACGTCATATCACAAATATTTCCAACTTTGTATGATTTCAGAGGAGTTGCGGCTCAATGAAATCGGTCTCTTTCTTTAGTAGTATAGATTCAAAATTTGGTGTAGCTTAAGAAAATGCAACCGGAAGTAAAAATCCTGCATTGCTTTTCGGCCTGGTCCAGTACAGATTTTTTTTCCGTGAAAAGCCGTATTGGACCGGGCCGAGAAAAAAATGCTAACTCATTATTAATATCAACAGAGCGACGTCATTAGAACTCCACTTGCTGATTTTTCCGTATTAGGATTTACTCGTATCATTTAATAAGTAATAGTATGATTCTTTACGACAGACTAATACAGCTGATCTGAAAAGAATACCATAAATTTGCCATAATACATCAAATTGCAAACCTTGATAACGCAGACGAAGAAATGCATAACTCAAAAAAAGAAGGCTACAATTTTATGTAGCCTAGTTGGTCGTGTGGTCTAGGGCACTTGACAAAGTGCAGATGGTCATGCCATGCTGTTACAGAAGAAGGCGTTCGAATTCAGATACGAATGCTAAGGGAAAAACATAATTGTGCTTACGCAAATTTCCAGACTCTAAGATTGTTTAAGATATTTTAGACGCGATATACATAAATTGTGGTGGTAGCCCCGTATCACCACAGGCTAACCGATGGAGGAAGGTCTGTCTTAAAGTTGTCATATTTAGACGTTAAATATAAAAAAAATATTAATGTGATTGCATGTTAGGTAAAATGTTTTTACGACAGACTTATTCACCTGATCTGAAAAGAATATCATATACTAGATAAGTAGACTAGGAAAAGCATTACTGGACTAGCAAAAGCTATAATTTCATATAATTAGTTGTCCTAATGTTCTAGATCGCTGAACAGAGGGAAGAACACATATGTTCTCACGCAAAGGTGCAGATCTTTTTTTTAGGGCTTAATTTCTAACGAATCATATATTCCAATGTATATATTGCTATGGACTTTTTTTCTAAAGTTATTTTTATTCTCTTTCAAATGTGGTGTATATACACATGACAACAATACCGTGACAAACATTTAGGGCACCTTTTATGGAACATGTTAATTTCGTTAACTACAACTTCTGTTGAAACTGTTATATTCAAATCAAACAAAACATGGAGATATCAACTGTTTCGGTTAACATACATATTTGGCTTTCAAATATTCGGCTTTGAGCGTTCCGAATGAATGTAAATCAAGTAAAGCGCTTCTGACGCATGAAATTTATAATTTGTTGTTTTCATTTTTTTTTGGCTACAGGACGGATGATACAAGCAAGATTGAAACTCCAGCAAAACACATACCCTGTGGTTGACGGAAAATACGTGATTTGATTTTCAAGTAAATAACATGCGTATAACTTTGAATAAACTTAACCAGAAATGTCGTCTTCAAAGTTTGGAAAGTAAACACATATAAACTGTTTAAACGCGACTTTCACTAAGCGGTCAGAACCCGTTATATGTCAACACCGGTAAAATTGGTTTGTAACCATCATTTAGGCACAATTACATCATTTCGTGAACTTCATCAAAATGTAAATAAAAATATTCGCCCAATTTCTTACAATTATCATATCGAAAAACCTTGATGGATCAAGCACGAAACATTTGAAGTATGTCAAACCAAGCAAGATTCACATCAAAATATTGAATCGGATTTGTGGTAATTTCATTTTGATATTATTTTGTTTAATGTATTCGGAATATTTGGGTGTTAAGGATGTTTGCTCCTCTGTTTCAAAATGACAAACTTTTTAAAAGACTGTTATAAATTGACAGTATATAAAAAATGTAATTAAAAAAGCAGAAAAAATTAATTGTCCGTGTGCTTGTTTTCGAGATATAAGCCATTGAAAATTTGGCGGGAAATGATTCTCTCTAGACTTTTCATCCATTTATCATTGGCACTTTTTTTCTTTCAAAAACTTTGAAAAAATAACAAGGATTTTATAAGGCTTTCAAATATGGCTTTTTAAACTATATGTAATAAAATTATGAAAAGAAAAGTAGGCGTTAGCGGGCAAAATTTGTAATGGCAATACATGGATAAAATCAGAGAATTCCGAATATCTGACAGAAATTCAAATACAAGAGGAGCGAACATCCTTAATACTCGTCAACTACGTATTTGATTTGGCCTTCCGAATGTTATAATTCGAGTATCAATGACGAGTCTTATGTAGACGAAACGCACTTCTGGCGTACCTAATTATAACCCTGGTATCTTTAATGATTTTCTTTTATATTACAAAAAGGAACTCACGAAAAAGACATGCTCACTTCACATTTTTATGCAAGCCCTGTATTTTCCCCATTTTCTACAAGTGTAATATTACTAAGCAGCGGAAACTGTATGCTTTTAGCTTAACAAAGTAAAATAAATAAACAAATAGAAAAACACATCATTAGATAAATGAACAAAAATAAATAATATATGTGTACATACCATTTCCATTTCAAATTTCTAAGACAAATAAGTTCCAACGAAACAAAATATATATAGTATGTTTATCGGTGATAAAACAAAAAAAAACCAAATCAGTTGGCTTTAGGTAGTTAAACAGATTGCAGCTAATGTAAACCTATTACGTGTTATTTAGTTAAAAATATGTTTAAAATAAATGACGGTAATTTTAGAGTTTTGATGCCGCCATCGGACTGATTTTATCTCTTTTTAAACAGCTTGTTTTAACAATTTAATGAGAAATTTAAATTTACCCGATGGTTCTACACGAATACAATTCCAGATTGCACTTTTGTCAAAATGTAATTTCTATAGCTATAACATTTGATAAACATATTATGTAGACAGGCTTAATATTAGACTTATTTCCAATTTTATTTTTTCCTTATTCAAATTTATTCATTGTCACCAATTCTTATTTATACATATCATATATAAGCTAAAATCAAGGAACCTGCAGCATTCTATAAAATTTAAATGTTTTACTTGTGTATCAATAAGTAATACTCAAATAAAGGAAGATTTAATGTATATCTCAATAAAACAATCCAACTAACAAAAGACACCAAGAGAGCAATTTCAATATTCCATAATTGACAGGTGGCTATACAGCATGTTTTTATGGAAATCAATCCTACATGTAGTCATTAAAAGTTGTCAAAAAATAAGCAGAAAGAGGGACGAAAGATACCAGAGGGACAGTCAAACTCATAGATCGAAAACAAACTGACAACGTCAGAAATATACAAACACCTGCCATCATCACCAAATTATTCAAATAAATTAATGCTGACATGAACAGAGTAGCGATGTCAACTAGACATTTGCAGAAACTCTCATACACTAACGATTAGGATTATAATTACACTTAGAGGTAGCATTTAAATCTTTGATCGTCTCATAGTGTAAATTTAAACCGTCGTTCCAAAAGAAAGTTTGACTCCTATGATGTATTTCTATAGTTGGACAACGGTGTTTTTAAGAAATATATAAGATTGAGAATTGAAACGGGGAATGTGTCAAAGAGACAACAACCCGACCAAAGAACAGAAAACAGCACAAGGTCACAAATTGGTATTTAACACAGCGAGAAAATCCCGTACCCGGAGGCGGGCTTCGGCTTGCCACTAAACAAAATGTGTACTAGTTCATAGAAAATGAACGTCACACAAAACTCAAAAGCATATAAATGAACCGAAATGAGAAACAAAAACATATAAGACAATGGCCAGAGGTTCCTGACTTGGGACAGGCGCAAAAATGCGGCGGGGTTAAGCATGTGTTGTGACATCTCAACCCTCCCCCTATACATCTAGCCAATGTAGAATAAACAAACTCACAGCAATATGCACAGTAAAACTCAGTTTAAAAGAAGTTCGATTTCGATGCTAGGATAGGAAACGAAGAAAATAAGCAAAATGACAATGATGACATAAATTAACAAAAGACTACTAGCAGTTACTGACATTCAAGCTCCAGAGCTCAATTTAACTGATTGAAAGATTATGTCTTCATCATACAAAATAAAGCATAATCCCTGCCGTTAGGAGTTTGGTATCAGACTATCATAAAATATACGAAAAGAACATAACCCGTATCATGCCAACAACTGGTTTTAAAATAAATGTGTTTATTTCCGATGCAAAGTGCCTATGAATGAATCAATATTAATCTCAAAAAATGACATCTTTAATGACCTGAAAACAGTATAGTCACTATATTCCTTCTGAATAATTCTGTTTAAAGGTTTGGCTAATTTTTTTAGGTTAATGACGACATTTGTGTGCGTTGGTATAGAATATTACCATAAAAGATTGCATGTGAAATACCTGAACGTAAAGATTCGGGGTCTGTTGTTCAACTTATCGTTAGTACTAACGAGGCATTGAAATTTCTTAATCATTCGATTTAGAATAATTATATAATTAGTGTGTTGTTCAAGTTGTCGTTAATTTTAACGCGGTGTTAAAATGCTAAAACTGTCGTTAAATTTTATCCACCTCATGAAGGTGTATTAAATTTTAATCATGCGATTAAAACATCCAAAACGGCTGCTGCATGAGATGTTTAAAAGGTATATATCCCCTGGAAAGGGATTTTACCAATGATCAGCTATGAAAGCACTTTAGATTTGAAAGAAACACAATAAATTTGTAAGAAGTTGAATTGAAAATTAAATTGGAAAGGGTTTAGACAAGCCATGGCGTAGGGTCGGACGGATACATACATGGTAATCAGATAACAGAAAGAAATTGCACATTTCGGCAGGGATTTTTTTTTGTATGTTACCGCTTTCCGAGCAGTGTTGATTGTAAAGACGGGACACATTAGTGTGCGGGTTCATTCAACAAATTATGACGAACCAGCTTTTGTAAATAATAACGGTCACCATATCATTTATGTACAGGCCTTCTTTTGACATTTGTACCTATTATGTCTGTTTGTTCTGTTCACACATTGTTGTCAATTTAATGGAGTTTTATGCGACTGTCATACAAGTGGTGAGAGCTTTAGCTAGCTTTAAAACCAGGTTTATTCCTCCATTTTTTTTACATAAGAAAAGTTAGTAATATGACAGTTGTTTTCCATTCGTTTGATGTGTTTGAGCTTTTGAATTTGCCAATTTGTAAGGGACTTTCCGTTTTGAATTTTCCTTGAAGTTCGGTATTTTTGTTGTTTTACTTTTTTCTAAGATCTTAAACCACAGCCAGGTCAGATCCATACACATGTTAGTAAAAAATAAAGCATAACTATTATATTTAATGTTAACAGGCAAATATTCTAAATGGGTTACATATAAACATATCTGTACTATATTGATAATTTTCTGAGTTCAAAACATTTATTTATATAAACTGCAATCATTTTCAATACCTCTAGGTTTGCTTGAATAAAAAGTCGATTAAACTTGGCACTTGTGTTTCACATTTTGAAATTTTTACAACTTTTATCATAAAACTCTTTTCTCAAGAGATTATCAGGGGGACATTGACAAATAAAATGTTCTTCGTCTTCAATTTTATCCAACGTGCATGCTTTACATAATCTTTGTGATTTATCTATATAGTTTTTTGCATATCTATCCGTCTCTATTTTTAATGGGTGTGCACTTATTCTGATCTTGTACAGTGCTTGTCTATCATTAGATTCTTTTAATTCCAGATATTTTGCTGTTCCAAAATATGATTAATTGAAAAATAAGTCATGAAAGAGGGACGAAAGATACCAGAGGGACAGTCAAACTCATGGATCGAAAACAAACTGACAACGCCATGGCCAAAAAAAAAAGACAAACAGACAAATAATAGTACAGAACATGGAACACTAAAGACTAAGCAACACGAACCCCACCAAAAACTGGGAGTTTGTCTTTACCTGATTCAACAGTATTTTCTCTAAATTCTCTACAATAATTCAGAAAACTTTTACATAATTTATTCTTAACTATAGTACATAATCGGCCAACTCAATTTACTTACATTTAAGTTTGATAAATCTAGTTCTTTCTTTATAAAAAATCAATACAAAAAAACCATGTAGTAATATTTTTTACATATAACTTTTTAATACAAATATATGCATCATATAATAAACCATCCTTTGTGTTCTTTAACCTATAAGCATATTTTAGCATTGCAAATAAAATTGAAAAATAGATAGGAAATCTTCCTAATTCAGACATAACAGCAAAACTACTTGCTTTTCCGTTAACCCCAAGAATATATTTCATGAATTTTGTGTATGATTTTTCAGATATTACTTTTGAATAAACCTTCTCTAAATTGTAATTGTTACATATACAGTGAATAAAAAGTATAAGATTTCTAAATGTACACGATCTACAAAAACACGCACCTTTTACTTAGAAATTGGGAAACCTCATATCAGACAGTAAAGGATTAAAAAACTTTTTAGGCCCCCGTGGGGTGAGGGGTAGGGGATTATTACTGTTAACTTCAGGAAACAAAAAATTTCCAATCGTATATATCGCCAATATATGTTTGATTTTTATGTCACTGAACACTGCTTCTCCCATGTCTCCGATAAAACGCGCAAGCTCCAAGTAAGACATGATAAAATATAATTTGCAGCAAGATCACAGAGTATCCAACATATATATTTCACCAGGTAATGTAATATTTTACCGTTATATGAGTAATGGTAGTTACAATTGAGATAAAAATATATATGTCAAAATTAAACGTCATTTTGGGGCAGTTAAGCTGCCCTATGCTAACACTCCAGATTAGTTTTTTGTCCTCAGGAATTTTGAAATAGGGGCCATTTGTTTTATCTAGAGTCCTGGTAGGTTATTAATAACTAATTTGACATTTTTTTATGCTTTAAATTCTGGAAAACAAATAATATTTTGGGAATTACCTTAAATGATCGTCGAAAATAAATAACTTTGCACATTGATTTATATTTTCTGTGCTTTTGATAAGGATGTTGAAAACCAATTGTATGAAATATGTCTGTGTTTACCTTTATATAGGAAGAGGATTACCCCATGTCCTTGTATATGCATGTACTAATCTTTCTGTATGTGCCTGTCATAAGTCTGGAGTTTATAATTCAGTGGTTGTTCGTGAGCTTTTGATTTTGCCAATTGTTAAGGGAGTTTCCGTTTTGATTTTTCCTTAGAGTTCGGTATTTTTGTTGTTTTACGTTTTCCCTTACAAATAAAGTCTTGTATGATCACATAGCTGCATTATCCTGTAAAATTCAATTGAAAACTAACCTTCAAAATAGTTGGGTCATTGTAAGTTCACACGCTTTCGTTCATTACTACGACATATTTCAATGTACGAAGAAGAAAAAAACAAATAAAATTGTTTTTCGAACAAAAAATAGATGAAAGAATGGTAATAAAAAAGGAACAACACAATCTGTTTTTGCAACTTGTGGACAATGAGATGAAATACGTTTATTGGTTATTTTCTGCTTACTTGATTTCTATTCAACTCACAAATACAGAGTCCTTTCGTGATTTGAATATAGGGCAAATTTCGGTACTTACTGATTTTATTGTTGCAAGTAGATGCGTTTGTAGTTATATACTGAATTGTTTTATTTCAAG